CAATTGGACCTTGGAACACTCAGTCCTAAATGGGCTGTCTCCATCAAATCCCTCCCCTCAGGGCTCAGGGAACCCTGTGGAAGAGGAGGAAATATTGTAGGAGTCAAAGAGGTTGAAGGACACCTAGGGAACAAGGCTTTCTAAACACAGCACAACACACATAGGAACTCACAGAGACTGTTGCATCTTGCACAGGACCTGCATGAGTCTGCACCAGATGGGGGCCCAGCACTGAGAGAAGAGGACCCAGGTTCCACGCCTAGCACCCACATGACATCTGACAACCACCTGTAACTCCAGTCCCAGGCCTCTTCTGGCCTCTGTGGGCACCAGGCAAGTAAGCATGAGTTACACACACATCCATGCAGTAAGACACTAATACACATAAAATAAAAAATCAAAACGAAAACAAATGCTCAACACAGCTAAAGACACAAAGGACAAAAAACCACCCCTGGTTGCAAGGAAAACCAACAAGACCATAGTAAATTCAGAAGGGTCAGGTCTTTGTTGACAACGGAACCAACAAACCAATGAGTTCAGTGTCTATCCTTCTTCTGGGTTTAGTGAGATAATGTTCCTCAGTATTTTACAATTAGATTTTCTTTTTTTGGTTTTTCGAGACAGGGTTTCTCTGTGACTTCGGAGGCTGTCCTGGAACTAGCTCTTGTAGACCAGGCTGGCCTGGAACTCACAGATATCCACCTGCCTCTGCCTCCCGTTCTGGGACTAAAGGTGTGCGCCACCAATGCCAGGCACAATTAGATTTTTATTACCCCAATTTCACCAATAGAAAAAAAACAGTCACGGAGAAGTTAAGTGACATGTTCATTATCACATAGCTATAAACTGGCAATACCACAGCAATGGAAGGCAGAAACCATGATCTGATTTTGCAGCCCTTACTAATGCGCCCCAAAGCAGCTGCAGGAAACTTTTAAATGGATAGCAAAATTTTGAGATTTTATTAGCACTATTCTGTAAATGTTATGTTTCTTGGATAGTTGATTTTATAGATTTCTGGATGCTTGTTTTTTTTTAAGGGTCTCTTTATGTAGGCCTAGAAATCGCTATGTAAACCAGGCTGGCCTCAAACTCACCTGCCTCCACCTCCTAAGTGCTGGGGTTAGAGGTTTGTGCAGCCTGTAATTTTTTAATGACGAAATATAACTGACTTTTAAGAAAGAATAACTTTAGGATAAAATTCAGGGTTTTTAATGTCTTCACTTTAAATGTCTTTACGGAGGACAGGAGTTCAAAAAACAACATGTAAGGGAGGGGATAGGAATAAGAGTGACTTCTCCACACTAACGCTCACCAGCTTTCCCCAAGTAGCCTTTCCCACTCCAGCCTCCCCGACATCCTCGGAAGATGACCCTCCCCCAACCCACCCGCCAGGTTCTGAAACCTGATCCTGCCAAGCAACCAAAGCCACGAACGCTGCAGTGCCCGGACCTGGCCTCATCCTACCCATGCCCCCAAAAGGGCATTAGCCGAGGAAACGGGTACTATAGCCGCGTTCTAAGTTTTCAAAGCGTTTCATTCGCGAGAGAACCACACGAGGGCCGATCCCACCCATGGCTCAGCCTCACAGGTACTGGTACCAAGCAGTGAATGACTCGCTTGGCCAGGACGTAGCCAGCCCGGAAGTTGGCAAAGCCTCGGGGACAGCCGAATCTGATCCCCAAAGAGGCCCCACGGGAGCGTGAGAAGGGCTCCCGGCATCTGAAAGGGGCGACGACAGTTGTGACCCGGCTCCACGCTCTCACCTTGAACATGTCGCTGGCAGCGGCGGCTCCGGCAGGGTCACCCCTCCCTTGGCCCCGCCCACTGAGAAAAGCGACTACGGAGGCCCGCTTAGATCCTCATTCCCTTGACCGCGAGCAGGCTGTGGTGCAGGAGATTTGCCCCGCCTCCCAACTCAACCCGCCGAAAGCTCCAATCAATCGCTAGGAGGCGCGTTGCGTTGCCTAGCAACAGAGCGGCACCCGCGCGCGGGAGCCTGAGGAATTCAAGCCCCGCCTCCTCGTTAGCCGTGCTTTCCTTGCCGGCTGTTGCTAGGCGGGGGCAAGAGGCGGCAGCTCCGTGTAGGCGGCAAGTTGTGGTAAGAAGAGGGAGGAGAAGAGGGAGGCTCCTTGGCGCCCTGCAGCGCTAAGAACCAGCTTTCGCCTCGACCATTGGGCTCCTGGCTGCGCGGATGGGAATCCTGTGAGCCGAGGTAGCAAGGCGGTGACGCAAGGCGGTGCACCAGCCTCTTAGAACTGCAGATCGATCGTGAGGCTTCGATTTACCTCACAAAAGGTTTTTTTCCGTAAAGAATTTAACGTATGCTGAATGTTCGTTAAATTTTAGGTTATACTAAGTGCATCACGTCATTTAAATCGCGAAAAACTGACCTTAAAAAAAAGTACTAATGCGTAAATCTGAAAATCAAATATTTGTCCCATTTAATACTTGTTGAAGTAAAATGACAGTATTTATTCGCCAGAAAAAAGCAAGCTTTAACACTGCTTTAAACGCGTAATTTTATTGCTCCCACACAAGTGGATAGGCATGGTTTTCTCATTGCCGAGTGTCCGAGACTGCGGAAAATCTAAAGCTAGGATCCAATTCTAGGTAGTCTGCCTTGGAAATCTCTGCGCGAGCCTCAGCAAATGCTAGCGCGTCCCGTAAGACGGTGCATTTCGTATTTCGTCCCGTTTTTCTGTCCTAATTCAACAGAAGATGGAAGCCACGTAGGCATCCTGAAGATTCAGAGATTTGTGCCGTGGAAGGTCACTATCCCCTTATCCGAAGACTGCTAGAAACACACCTGTCCTTAAAGAAATTAGGGTTGATTTTTTTAAGTTTGCTGCGAGAAAAAAAAACAACAAAAATGCCCATCTGGGGCAAAGTGGAGCATTTCAGTAAGAAAGTGTTAAGTTTGTCATAGTATGTGAGCTTTGGCTTAGTGATTCGTGGTTAAGGTTTTTTCTTTTTAAGCAGAACTTGTAGGTATCAGCAAGCTTCGGAGAAGGGAAAATGCTAAGTTTCAGCTAGACCAACTCCCAAATGTTAAGGGCAGCTCTTTTCCTTCTCAACAGAACTGTACGTTCCAAGCCATCCCCAACTCCAATCCCTAAGGAGAAATACTGACTAGATTCTGAAGGCTCTGCATCAGTAAGGTAATATCTTAAAAGTGTGAAGCATAGTGATAAATTACAGCGGAAGCTCTTAACGCAGGGAGTATGTGAACTGGGACAAGAGGGAAATGACAACTTCACCCTCTCTAAACTCCAGCTGAACTTTAGCATTTCCTTCAAGTACAGTGTAGGCTACAAGCCTCCCAATATTAGCAGTACCTGTGAGTGTCACCAATAGAAAGCAGAGACATTTTCATACCATTTACAGTCACGGCAGCTAACTAAAAATAGCACTGATGCTCATTACTACAAAAGTACAATGGTTATTAGATTTTTGGCTTATGCATAAAGAAGACACATATTACTGCAATTTCATTTTAAAAGGTATTTTGAAGATATGACTAAGAATTTGGGAGCTTCATCCAAACTGGAATATAATGCTTCAAACAGTGAAAAAGTTACAGGCAGAATCAAGTAATGTCATACATGCCTGCTCACATGACCAAAGGGGCACTGAACCACGAAGAGGTTAAGGAATTCACTCAAAGTTTCACAAGTGTTTAATAAAAACTGGACAAAAAACTCTACAGAAAATGTGTAAACACACCCCACCCCCACTCCCTGGTTTCCACAGTCAGCAAAGTGCCTCCTGCCATTAAAGAATTTGTGCCAAAAAAATAAAATAAAATAAAGCCGGGCAGTAGTGGTGCACGCCTTTAATCCCAGCACTTGGGAGGCAGAGGCAAGCGGATCTCTGTGAGTTCGAGGCTGGGCTGGTCCGACAGCCTCCAAAACAAACCCTGTCTCGTAAAAAAAAAAATTCGTGAGGAGAATAAATATCCCTGAATTACTTCAAGAGCCAGGTGTTGTGGTGAACATCTGTAATCCCAGAACTTGGGATGTTGGGACATGAGGATCAGTTTAAGTCTACCCTCTACTACATAATGAGATTGAGGCCAGCTACATGCGACCCGGTGTCACAAGAAGAACTGTTAACTTCAACTGTAGGGTGAATAGGAGGAAAAAGATAGGAGAGAGGGAGGCCAGTTAGGAGGTTATGGATAGATTCACTGTCATTCCGACAAACCACTTGGTATTTTTATTATAAAAAGAATATAAATTGTAAACGACACTAAAAGCACAATGCTTTCTTTTTAAAGGGGTTCTAAAATTAACACAACAATCATATGACATTTGAGTCTAGTCCAAATGTGATAATGTGGGGATTATGACCTTAAAACCTTAATGTATGTGTGTTCAGATTACTTCTTTGTAGGGAAATGAAAAAGTCCTCAAATACAACAGGTACTGGTGCTCCAAAATCAGATAGTCAGCTCCCAGAAAAAATCCACAAGACACAATCGGCACGTGCTGCAAAGATAAAGGCAAGAAAAGAGTAAGAAGCCATCTTTTTGCCTTTTATCGTTTTCCCACAACTAGACAAATTACAAACTTATTGAGGTTTTCTTGTGTGTGTGTGTGTGTGTGTGTGTGTGTGTGTGTGTGTGTGTGTGTGTGCGTTTTACAAGGCAGTGTTTCTCTATGTAGCCCTGGCTGTCCTGGAACTCCCTCTGGCTGGCCTTAATTTCAGATAGCCATTTTATCTGAAGGCAAGGGCTAAAGGTGTGCACCACAATGCCATGCTAAGCTTACCCAAGTTTACTCCGATAACTTTAAACATTTCTTAATGTGTAAATTAAAATTTTGGTGTTTTTAAAAATTACCTTCAAGTTGAATATTATAGCTTTAGAATTTTATAATTTACAAAGCATGTTCACACACCCACATAATAATACTACAGCCTTCTGAAGCAATTTTGTTATTATACATTATAAGTGAGAAAAAGAGGACTGGCGAGATGTCTCAGTGATTAGGACCCCCCTTCCTAAGGACCCCAGTTCTGTTTCTGGCACCCATGTTATGTAGCTAACAACCACCTGTAATTCCAGCTCCATGGGATACAGCATGCAGATATGAATGCAGACAAAATATTGCATACATAATAAATAAATCTTAAAAATCTTAGCTGGACTTTGGTGGCACATGCCTTTAATTCCAGCACTTGGGAGGCAGAGGCAGGCAGGTCTCTGTCAGTTCAAGAGTGTGAGGACCCGCACTCATATGCATATATCCACCTGCAGACACACGCATAGTATGTAATTAAAATAGTCTTACATTTTTATTATATATTTAAATTAGGAACAAGCTTGCTTCCCATGTCAGACACAGCTCCCTCTCCCTCCCCTCCACACCTGCTCCCCTAATTAAAATATTTTAGGTGTTAAAAAAGTGAGAAAAAGCCAGAAGGTAGTGGCACAACCTTTAATCCCAGCATTCAGAAGGCAGAGGCAACCAGATCTCTCTGAGTTTGAGGCCAGCCTGGTCTGCAGAGGGAGTTCCAGGACAACCAGAGCTACACACAGAGAAACCCTGTCTAGAAAAAGAAAAAAGAAAAAAGCACAACTGGGAAGAAAGCTAAACCAGTTAATGAATAACATCAACGAGAATCCAAAAGGTTTATTTCTGTAATTTGGGAATTTTTATTTCCTTTATTTTAAGAACGATGGCTGACCTGGAAGTCACAGAGATTTGCCCGCCTCTATTCTCAAGTGCTGGGATTAAAGGCATGCGCCACCATATCCTTTTCTGTGTGTGTGTGTGTGTGTGTGTGTGTGTGTGTGTGTGTGTTCGTGCGTGCGTGCATACATGCAAGCGTGCGAGTGCTTGGGTGTCATCTTTAAGAATGCCATTCAACTCCTTTGAGACAAGCTCTCTCGTTAGCCCAGAGTTTGCCAATAAGGTTAGACTGACCAGCAAGCTCTGGGACTCCTCCTACTTCCACCTGCCCGGCACTGGGATTACAAACACATGCCATCATGCCAGGTATCTTTATACGGGCTTTAGGGATCAAACTCAGGTCCTCATGCTTGCATAGTAAGCTTATACCAACTGAGTTATTTCCCCAGACTTTTTCTTCTCTCTATCTTGTAGTCTACATTTTGCCAGCCAGTGGTGACATTGTACAGATGTCCCTGTCTTGGCACGTAGCCCTACAGGAGATACTGACTGGATAGGAGAGCACAGAAACCTGTAAAATCAGTTGGTGCTGGGACATTATCTAAAGTAAATCATTTCTCTAGCCTGTCTGGAATGAGCCTAGCTTGAGCAAAGATCAGAAAAGGGAATTTCTTTTTCTAGGTCACAATCATAAACCCCTAGAAAAGAAATGGGGCCCTTGTGTAAATGGTAAATTCTGCTGTTTTACATTGCTTGAATCAGTTAGGCAGTGCTTTTAGTAACTACTTGTAATCTCAGCACTAAGGAACCTGAGGCGGGAGCTGAGTCTGAGGCCAGGCTGGACTAAGTTCCAGGTCAGTATGGGGTACATAGTGAGACCCTGTCTAAAAGTTTTTTAAAAGCCTGGCAATAAATTATTGTATGTTCTGTGGTGTGTTGCATGTTCATGCAGATGTGTGCCAGTATGTATGTATGTGTGAAGGTCAGAGACCTTCCTAAGTAGCTCTCTAGCTGGTTGGGGTGGGGTAGATGCATGTGCCCACATACCTGGTCTATACACACCCAGATGGAAGCAGAGGTACACACTGAGTGTCTTCCTCTATCTCTCTCCACTTTATTTTTTGAGACACAGTCTCGAACTGAATCTGGAGTGTACAATTTCAAGTAGACTAGCCAAAAATCAACTGGAATCCTGTCTGCACCCCCAGTGCTGTTATTATGGAAGGTGCACCACAGCTCCCAACTTTTACATGGGTGTTCATGCTTGTCCAGCACTCTTTAACAGCTGAGCCATGTCCCAAGCCCCTTCACCTTATTTTTTGAGAGAGCATCTCTCCCTGGACTGGAACTCACTAACAAGGCTAGGCTAACTTGCCAAGGAACCTCAGGGATCTTCCTGCCTCCACTTCCCCAGTGCTGGATTACAAGCATTTGCAAACACATTTATCATTTTATATGGTTTCAGGCTATCGAACTCAGGTTCTCATTCTTTACCCACTAAGCTATTTCGCCAGCCCCATGAATGTTTTTAAAAGGCCAATTTGCCTTCTCACATCTTCTATTTATCCATATTGTCTCTTTCCCATCCCTTTCCCTTCTATCATCCCTCTTCCTCCCTTCCCTCTCTCTTTCTTTCCTCTCCCACCCCAACCCCCAGCAGTATTAGGAATTAAGTCTCTGGATCTCTAAGGATGTACTTAACAGACTTCTTACCTAGTGTACAAGTCCTTGGTTCAGTTTCTATCACCACATAAAACCAGGCATGTTAGAATCCCAGCACTAAGAAGTTAGAGGCAGGAGGATCACAAGTTTAAGGTGCAACTAGTTTATGCAACTAGTCAAAGCCAGTCTGAGTTATAGGAGACACTGTCTCAGAGGGAGGGAAGGAGGAAGGGAGAGAGAGAGAGAGAGAGGGAGAGGGAGGGAGGGAGAGAGAGAGAGAGAGAGAGAGAGAGAGAGAGAGAGAGAGAGAGAGAGAGAGAGAGAGAGAGAGAGAGATACTTGCACACACCGGGACTGTACCCTGAACCCAAATTTACTGTGTAGTCAAAGCTGGTCTTGAACTCTTGATCCTCCTGCCTCCACCTGCTAAGTGCAGGGATTATAAGAATGTGCCACCATAGCCAGGCATTGGTGGCACACGCCTTTAATCCCAGCACTTGGGAGGCAGAGGCAGGCAGATCTCAGTGAGTTCGAGGCCAGCCTGGTCTACAAGAGCTAGTTCCAGGACAGCCTCCAAAGCCACAGAGAAACCCTGTCTCGAAAAACCAAAAAAAAAAAAAAAAAAAGAATGTGCCACCATGTCTGGCTTTATGTATGTGACTTGATAAAGTTTTAGGTGAATTTTTTATCTCAGGGTAAATATTAATTATTCCATATCCTCGTTCTGATTAGAGACTACAAAGACTAGTTCCAATTACTCCATCATTAGGTCAGTCTTAGTAATGGGGAAATATAAGAGGATGCATAAATTGAGAGTTTTCTAAGATTTCAGGAAAATGAAAATATTTCATAAATCGCTAACATCTTTTTCCTCTTATAATTAATAGAGAGATTTCAGCAACAAAAATACAGAAAGCCTGGTTCACTTATGTGGACAAAACATTGTTTAAACTCCTAAAACACACTGTTTGTGCAGCGGTATGTATTTTTTTCTCTGACAAATGTTATTCCTTAACTAGTTAAAAGACCTGTTAATTAAAGATAGAGCAAATAACCCTCTTTGTCTCTTTAACTTAGATACAATAATGTCAAACTCTAAAATTGCTTCTTTTGTTAATCTTAATAGATATTTCTGGTTGTTGTGTTTTTTAGATTTATTTATTTTTATTTTATTTATGTGTATGGATGCCTTCAAGTGTATCTGTGCACTGTGGCATGAAATGCCTGTGAAGACCAGAGAGGTTATTTATTGGATCCCCTGAGACTGGGGAGTGAAAGATAATTGTAATGTGGGCATTAGGAATCAAACCTGGGTCCTCTGGAAGGTCAGTGAGTATGCTTAACTTCTGAGCCATCTCTCCAGCCCTCTGGCTTTAGTCTTAATATGAATGAGTATTACTATTTTTCTGAAATTAATGCAGTTGTGTTTCAGTTTAAATTTGTGTCCTTATTTGAAGATAAGAGACAGTGATCTTCTAACAATAAAAATCTCTGAATTAAGAAATGGGGGTGCAAGCCAGCTGGTGGTAGCACTCACCTTTAATCCCTGCACTCTTTTTGGAGACAGAGGCAAGCAGGTCTCCATTTTGAGGGCAGCCTGGTCTACAGGGCAAGTTCCAGGATAGCCAGAGCTACAGAGAAACCCTGTCTCAGAAAAGAAGAACTAGGGGTGTAGTGCAGTTGTAGAATGTGTATTCAACATGTTTGAGGCTCTGGGTTTGATCCTCAACACTACAGAAAAAAAATCCCTGAATTTAAAAGTGCACTTTTCTTTTACCCAGCAGTTTCACTTCTTTTTAGAGAGGATTTATTTATTTATTATACATGTGTATGTATGTGTGCCTGGGTGAGTTTATGTGCACCATGTGCGTGCAGGAGCCTGCAGAGATTAGAATAGAGCATAAGATCCCCTGGAACTGAGGTTACAAGCAATTGTGAGCCACCATGTGAGTGCTAGGAACCAAACTGAGGTCCTCTGCCAAAACAGTGCATGCTGTTAACCACCGAGCCATCTCCAGCAGTTTCACTCCTAAGAGTGCGTTCTACAGTGCAATTTCATTGCAGCATTGGTTCATAGATGCAAGTAACCATCTCTCTCATCATGGGTAAAGCTTGCAATATTAACACGATTCTACAATAGAAAGATAACCAAGATAGCTTGATAGTGAAAAGGACAATTCAGAACAATATGAGGAATAAAATCCTATTTGAATAAAAGACAACAAACAGATGCCCATCCTCTTTCCAGGAAGGAAAAAAAAAAAAAACCCTGGAAACTCCAGCAGAGTGTTAAGCCTTGTTTAAAGTAGTCTGCTATCAGAATAGTCTCACTAGAGGAATTTTATCAGCCATGAAAAATAAAAGTCTGAGAAATATGTATACTTCACTATCTGACTCACAGACGTATTTGTATTATCATACAAAACTCATTTTTAATTATCATGTTACTGCTTTCCTCATAATTTTAGGCTCTCCGTAAATAAGTGAAGTTAATCAGTTATTTTTACGTCTTTGTTCCAATGCTTCAAATTAATAATGCTTTATTGTAACCCGATAGTGGTGGCTCAAGCCTTTAATCCCAGCGCCTCTAGAGGCAGAAGCAGGGAAATCTCTGAGTTCGAGGCCAGCCTGGTCTACAGAGTGAATTCCCGAATGACCAGGGCTACACAGAGAAACCCTACCCCCCCAAAAAAAGAATAAAATGCTTTACTTGTTAAAAATCCTATTATTGTACATTTTATGGAATCATCACAGGCATAGAATTGAGTAGGGTCTTTTAAAGAAAAGAATGGAAATTTTAGAGTCGAACAGATCTAAGAGTTTTTTTTCTTTGAGTCTTTATTAATTTACTTTTTACATTCCAATCCCAGTTCCCCCTCACTCCTCTCTTCCCGCTCTCCCACTTCCCCCTCTTCCCATCTGCTCCTCGGAGAGGGTAAGGCCTCCCCTAAGTCTGTCCCTTCATCTTGTTGAGGCAGGACCAAGGCACCTCCCCACCCCCACACCCCTCTTTCTAGGATGGGCAAGGCGTCTCTCCATATGGAAAGGGCTTCACTAAGTCAGTTTGTGCATTAGATTTAGGTCTTGGACCCACTGCCAGTGGCCTCATACATCAAATTAACGTTTGAGACCTAGCTTTCTCATTTATAAAAATGAGAGCAATAATACTCTGCTTGTCTTGTTGTTAGCATTAAATGAGGATAGATATAGATATATGATACCACCATGTTACATGGTAAATAAAAGGTGTCTAAAAACTAGTCACTTAATACCATTATCATCCCCATATTACCATGATTCTTTCAACAATAAACACTTTTAAGTTTCTTGTGTGTTTCAGGTACAGTATCAGATGCTAGGAATATAATAAAGAAGAAAGATGCTGTCTCTACCTTCATGATGCTTCTAATCTAGTTGGAGACACAGATAAATCTATAGATAAATGCAATAAATTAAGTGAAAGTATTATCATAGGGATTGCAAAATGCCTGTGATATCAAAAGACATGGATATTCAAACTTGGAGACCCCTGAGTTGAAATAGCAGATGAAGGGCTACATAGATGATAAATGGAGGAGTCAAAAATAGAAATCCCAGCCTCCAAAACAATACAGAGAAACCCTGTCTCGTAAAACCAAAAAAAAAAAAATAAAGAATAGAAATGCACCTCTTTAGAACCCTGAGCCCAGGGTTCGGATCATTTCACTATGCCTCAATTCTTTTTGTTGTTGTTTTGTTTTGCTTTGTTTGGTTTTGTTTTCTGAGACAGGGTTTCTCTGTGCAACAGTCCTGGCTGTTCTAGAACTCACTCTACAGATCAGGCTGTCCTCGAACTCACAGAGACCTGCCTGCCTCTGCCTCTTGAGTGCTGGGTTTAAAAGTGTGGACCACCACCATCAGGCTGCTTCCATTCTTGTAATCAGTCAATGACGTGTGTCAGGATACCACTTTCTGTTTACAGTGACATCATTTATTTCAGGAATATTGTGTGGCGCATGAACTGCTGAAGAAAGTAAGCCCCATAGAAGCTGCACTTGTTAAAGATCCGAGCATGAAGTGTAAAGTCAGGTTCAGGTAATGTAACCAGCTGATTTATCTCATAGGAGAAATAATAGAAATGCTTTCTTTTATACTTATTATTTCTCAGGACAAAATTAAAAGGTAAGCATTTCCCTGTTTACATTTGTTATGGTTTTACATAGGCTAAGGCATGACTCTGGCTATAATTTGACATGAGGTCTCACCCCCATTGTGTCCACAAGTATGAGAATAGTTGTGACTTTCACCTTTGGATCTGTTTCTTTGCTAGATCTTTATATGTTCTTTATATGCCCTATATTTGAAAAACTGTATTAGCTCTGCTAAGTACATAAGAAAGAAGCAATAGAGCCCCACAATCATTGTCACATCACTAATTTTTTATCTTTATTTCAGATTTGGTGGTGAAACGTTTCCACCTTTTATCGTGTTCAAAATTTTTTTTAAAAATGATGGCCATGGTTACAAGTATTTCAGTGGGAAAGATTTACTAAAGCCGTCAAGTAAGGTGATGTTTCATGATGGATGTTTTATATTAATTTATATTAATATTTCTTCTTAATATCTATGTGATATCTAAATTACATTCCAATTATACAGGCCATTAGCAGTCCACCAAGCTTTTTCCTAAGCACCATGTTTCAAAATGTCTCCACTAAAACAAATTTGAAATGTTTTACTTATGTGAGGTTATGAAAAAAATATCTCAGTTTTCTTTGCGTTGAAATTTTAAATTCTGGAAAGGCAGGGGCAGGAATGATCTCTGAGTTAGAGGCTAGCCTGGTCTACAGAGTGAGTAATAAATATTGGTTTATTGAACCAGGGTTTCTCTATGTAGCCCTGGATGTCCTGGAACTCACTGTGTAGACCAGGCTGACCTGGAACTCACAGAGATCTTCCTGTCTCTGCCTCCCGAGTGCTAGGATTAAAGGCATGTGCCACCGGCATGAGAAATATATTTTCATCTTACTGTTGAGGGATAAATTCATGTCATGTTCATCTTCAGAATAAGCTGAGGTTGTTTCTATAAAACACCATCTATAGTGTCTGTTCTAAGATTGTATAATCGAACTTTTCCAGGAACTGAAATTCTCCTGGGCCTGTTCCATTGTCCCTATTCTTAGGCTTAAGAAAATGAGAATCTCAGAAGGAAGAAGTCAGGAGAAAACAGTATTTATTCATTAAAACTCACTGAAACATTGTATAATAACCTCATTTTTTTAATTTATGAAGTAAATGTTGGAGGGGAGGAAATAGCCCAGTGATATAAAAAGAAAATGTGACTTTCCTTTCCTCCAGCATCCTGAAAGCTTCATCACACTCCTTGCTGTGTCTCCATCACCCACCTGTCTGAGAACCTGCTAACAGACAGGAGAAAGACAGCTGGCTTTCAGGAAATCCCAAGTCAACACCTGAGGAAGACTGTCAAGACTCCAAAATGATGAGTCAAGTGGTAAACCCTAGCAAAGACTTTGAATTCCAGAATTTACAGAATTGGAGAAAACCAAAGGAGCAGAGAGTTCCCCTACGAGAAGAGAATCCCAGGGTGAAATGCAAAAACTGTGGGGCCTTTGGACACACCATAAGAAGCAAGAAGTGCCCTATCAAGTCCTGGGATGGTGCCAAGGTACCACTGCCCTTGGGCATAAAGAAGGGAAAGGAGAACCAGGACCCACAAAAGCCAAAGAATCTGCATAGCACTGGGCCAGTGTGTGAAACAGAGAAAGAGAAAAGAGAGAGAGAGAGATTAGAGGAGCAGAGGAAGGCTCTCGTGCTCAAATTTCCCAAGAAACCCCCAGAGAAGAAGCCTCGGAGTTGGAAGGATACCACACATTCTGGTGACTATCTGAGGCGTCCGAGCAGACCATCGTTCATCCACATTAACAAGAAAGTATCCCTGAAGTGCACCCAAACTAGTCTGCCATCACTCAAGAAATCTGATGGGGAACATGTGTACCATACAGCACCTTCCACAGAAAAGCCTACTATTACCATTAATCTTGAGGAAAATAACATGCCAAAACCAGCAGTTGGGCACAGTGCTGAGCACCCGACTTTCAGTGGGAATGCAACAGGCCGAAGCACAGAGCATTGCTTCTATCAGGTTCCCCAGGCTGCCTTCAAAGTGCAGGAGATGGGCCATGTATTAAACACCCAGTCACCAGTCCAGCATTCTGATGAAGATAAACACTCCCTCCTGTACCCCGCAGCACATCCAAATAGCCAGCATGCCAAACTCAGCCTCAAAGTAACACATGAAAGAAGTCTCCCCTTGTCAGCCAGATGAGCCAAAATCCTCAAAAGAAGCGGCGCGTAAGCACCTACCAGAGACCACAGAAGATCACTGAGAAGCCTATGTTGGAGGCTTTCCGTGTTGTGCCACATTCTAGTACCAGTCAAGTTGAATCAAAAGGGTTACCTCAAGCGACCAGTGTTGAACAACAGCCTCCTTGCAACAGAGCTCTCCTGAATTTCACACAGCCTTTCACCGAGTCCTGTCATCCATTGTCCAGTCATGTTCCAGTCCAACCCCTCCGAATGGTCTTCACTAGATTGAGGAATGACTGCTGGAGCTCCAGGATCTTGGAAGCTTCCTCATCCCATCCTCCTGAAAAGAAAATACCTTCTGACAAGATCTCTCCCTCCCTGAAGCAGTCTGAGGGAGCATACCCCAGGGTCCCACTGAGCATTATCATAAGGTCCCGTCCACCCTCCTCCTCTGAGGAGAGGAAATGAGAAAACCACATGAAAAATGACTCTGTCTCCAGCCTCAGAGGGACTTGTAGAGGACTGGTGGATGGAGAAGAGAGCGCAGGAAGCTGACTAAGCCAGTTGTTTGGGGTCTTTGGGACAGTGAATCGTATGAATACCGTCAACTGAGCAGCAGACACAGACACCCTTCAGATCACATAAACTGTACTTCAAATGGAATTGACTGGGGTCTTACATGAAGTCTGTATGAATTTGAGTTGGTGTGTACATGCGTTTATTCACATGTAAGTAGAAAAGCAGAATTAGCCTGTTTGGCATCCAAGTGTCTATGTTAGTGGGAGGTCTGGATGAGCTCTACGACCTCCATTTTCATCCTGACCTCAGAAGGGAGATCTTGACTATCAAATGCGCCAGTGAAAGCCGTCGTGAAGAAAGTTTTCTTGCACTTACACATGTTCTTTAATGTCTTGTAAATATGTTTAAAAAATAAGTTCCCATGTTAATATAGATCTACAAAGTATGCCAAAGAAAAAAGAAAAATGCACTTTGATGCCTGTCCCTAATATGCTGCAGCTGTCACTCTCCTGGAGTAATCAGCCCTAATAGTTTGTTATGTTGCCTTCATTTCGCTATGAAACAAGGTTATATAATTCTGTTTGTTCTTGTTATTAAGATGTTATCATACTATTCAGCCTGACTTTTTCAGTGAACACCGTAATGGTCTTTTAATGAACAGAACATACCCAACTTGAAGAGAACAGTTTGGTCTGCCCTTGTCCCTTCTTTCTTTTCAAAACAAACTTGGCTAAAATGTGAAGTCATGGTTGAAAGAAAACATACAACGGTGGGATTTTTCCCATTATAAGTTTACATTTTTGCTCTTTGAATAAAAGTTTTGTTAGCCAATTGATCCAACTATTCTGCTTACTTACTTCTTTTTGGTGTTTGTTGGTTTCTTTGTTTGTTTGTTTGTTTGTTTGTTTGAGACAGGGTCTCTCTATGTAGCTCTGGCTATCCTGGAACTCACTTCATATACCATGCTAGCCTTGAGCTCCTAGGGATCTGCCTGCTTCTTCCTCCAGAGCTCTGGGATCAAAGACATGCATCACCACACCTGACTCTTACATCTTGAACTTCTGATTGCAATGCCTCCACCTCCAGAGTGCTAGGATTACAGGTGTGCAGATACACAGGTGTGCAGTGGTGAGGATCAAACCCTGGGCTTCATGTATACTAGGTAAGCACCATACCAAATGAGCTACATCCCTAGCTCTAAATTCATTTATTCTTTTTGTTTGTTTGTTTGTTTGTTTGTTTGTTTTAAGACAGGCTTTCTCTGGGTAACAACCCTAGCTATCCTGGAACTCTCTTTGTAGATCAGGCTGTCCTCGAACTTACAGAGATCCTCTTGCCTCTGCCTCCCAAGTGCTGGGATTAAAGGCATGTGCCACCACCGTCCAGCTCATTTATTCTTTTATTTTATTATGCGTATGGGTGTTTTCCTGCATGCATGTCTGTGTGCCACATTCGAGTTTGGTGACAGAGAAAGATGTAAGATCCCTTGGAAAATGGATTTAGGAATGGTTGTGAGCCCCTATGTGAGGGCTGGGAATCAAACCCATATACTCTGTAAGAGACATCAGGGCTCTTAACAGATGTCCAGCCCTTCATTTATTTCTTTGTAGAAGTGGGCCAGTTTTAGTTTGTTCAGACGTCTATTCACTTATCTCTGAAAATATTTTTATTATTTTTGTATGTATTAATGTTTTACCTACACTTCTGTGTACCACATGTATGCCTGGTGCCTGAGAAGACCAGAGAAGGATTGCCCTGGGACTGCAGTTCCAGACTGTCAGGAGCCTCCAGGTGGGTGCTGGGAATTGAGCCCAGGTCCCCTGGAGGAGCATCCAGTGCTCATAACTGCTGAGACATCTCTCCAGAAATTTATTGCCGGGCATTGGTGGTGCACGCCTTGATCCCAGCACTAGGGAGCAAGAGGCAGGTGGATCTCTGTGAGTTCAAGGCTAGCCTCCAAAACAATTCAGAGAAACCCTGTCTTGAAAAAAAAAAAGAAGAGAAATTTAACATATTTTTGCTCCATCATTCCCCACCATATTTCCGTTTCTTTTTGCATTTACTTGTCATTTTCCAGCTGTATCTCTCATGTATTCACAAAAACAAAAAGCAAAACAAGTGAAAGTGGGGGAAAAAGGAAGTTGGACAATTTACACTACCCAACTTCAAGACTTAGAAAGCTGCTGTAATTAAGACAGACATAGAATCCCCTGGGGAAAAATAGAAATACATCTATCTAGAGATTATCAGTATTTTCTGCAAAGGTGCCAATGCAGGTCAAATGGTTCTAGAACAGTGGTTCTCAACCTTCCTAATGCTGCAAGCCTTTAAATTCAGTTCTGCATGCTGTGGTGGCCACCAACCATAAAATTATTTTCATTTCTACTTTATAACTGCAATTTTGCTACTGCTATGAATCGTATACAAATACATATGTAATGTAAATATGCTTTCCAGTGGTCTTAGGAGACCCCGTAAAAGGGTCCTCTGACCAGCCCCTAAAGGACCGCAACCTGCAGGCTGAGAACCTCTGCTGTAGAACAATAGAACAATGGTGTGTGTGTGTGTGTGTGTGTGTGTGTGTGTGTGTGTGTTCGCGCGCGCACTCTTGTTTCATTTTCCACTTTGACAATCTATTTTCTCAGCATTGGTAATTTACAAGAGGTTTTCATTATTGTTGGTCCACCAGAGAATTTTCTACAACCTTGCTACCCAAAGCATGTGCAGCCTTACACACTGGCATCCACTGGACCATTTTAAAATGCAGAGCCTTGAAGCTGGAGAGATGGCCGAGCAATCAAAAGTGTGCACTACCCTTGCAGAGAGGCCAAGTTTAGTTCTCAGCACCCATATCAGGTGGCTCGCAACTACCTGTAACTCCAGCTTCAGAGGATTTTGTGTCCTTGCTGGCCTCCTTGGGCACCCGCATGCATGTGCACATGTGCGCACACACAATTAAAGAATAAAAATGATGGGGCTGGAGAAATGGCTCAGAGGTTAAGACTGCTCTTTGAGAGGTCCTGAGTTCAATTCCCAGCAACCGCATGGTGGCTCACAACCACCTGTAATGAGATCTGGTGCCCTCTTCTGGCGTGCAGGCATACACGCATATATAATAAGTAAATATTTAAAAAATAAACCAGTTACTACACTTACAGGCTAAAGAGCCTTAACTGTTGGCATCTAGCAACTGTTATTTTATGTTGAAAAATCCGTCTTTTTAAACTTTATTCACATAAGAAAAACATTAATAGCCACCCTTGTTATTGATTATTCTCTCTTTTTGTCTCCCTCCCTCTCTCTCTCACCCTTCTGCTCTTTTTCCCCACACTGTGTCAAGATTCAAATATATTAGGCTGGCCTCAGACTCATGCGGCTAAACTTGAACATCTGATTCTCCTTATTAATACTCCTATACTTATTAATACAGGTGAACCCCACCATATCTGATTTGGACAGTAAATTCTGAGGATCAAACTCGTGGCTTCATGCATGCTAGGCAAGCACTCTTGCTATGTTTGTCAGTCCTGCTTGATCACTTAGGGATGAGGGAGTACAAACTCTGGAGGTTAGCGTCAAGTGTCTTCCCCATTCATTTTCCATCTTGAGTTTTGAGACAGAGTCTCTCATTGAACGTGGGGCTCACCAATTTATTTAACTAAGCTGGCTAGCCAGTAAGATTCAGGGATCTGCCTGTCCCTGTCCCACAGCGCTGGGATTTCAGATGTATGCCACAATGGACACGGTGATATATCTTACATGCGTACTGGTGATCAGAACTCCAGCCCTCACACTTAGGCAGCAAGCACTTTACCAATTGAGCTGTCTACTTAGCTCCTCTGGCCCAACTTGATCAATTAACTGTAATCTCAAATGTGCATTATTTCATTTCATTCCCATAAAAACTAGTCTGTATGTTTTGTTAGTCTATCCTCACTCTTTAAAAAAGTTTGAGACCAGCATGGTCTATAGAGCGAGTTCCAGGACAGCCTCCAAAACAATACAGAGAAACCCTGTCTAAAAAGCCAAAGGGAAAAAAAAGAAGAAGAAGAAGAAGAAGAAGAATCTGAAAGTAGAAAGGAGACTAATGGGAAAGAGGAAAGGGACCATCGGGAATAGGAGGAAAATATATATGAATAAAAGTGCCGCTGGTCGTTGGTGGCAAACGCCTTTAATCCCAGAATCCCAGCACTCGGGAGGCAGAGGCAAGTGGATCTCTGTGAGTTCGAAGCCAGCCTGGTCTACAGAGCAAGTTCCAGGACAGGCTCCAAAGCAACACAGAGAAACCCTGTCTCAGAAAAAAAAGAAATGCCATAAGGCCTAATAATGAAAAAATAAAATCACATATTAAATAAATAAATGACAGACCAAGTAACTCAGTTAAAACCTCAGAACTGGACAGCGAAAGAACTGAGAAAAAAGTTCATATTCTTGAGAGATGCACTCTCACCCTGGACTCTTGGGGAGGGTCTAGGCCCTGCCCTGGATGAAATGACAGACTCTGGAGATCCCCCAAGGAGGGCCTCACCCTCCCTGGGGAAATGAGGGAGTATTGGGGGGTTGGGGGAGGGCACGGGAAGAGGGGAGGGAAACGCAGAGGGACCTGGAATTGACATGTGAAGCAACCTCGTTTCTAATTTAAATTTAAATTTAAAAATAAAAAAGAGAAAAAAGTTCATATTCTTAAACACCCCTGAGCTAAGGTAACACTGTTCTTCTCTCACGTGGCCCTCCTTCCATTCACTGTTTGACAAACGCCATTCTCTCTTTGTCTGTGGGAAAAGCTAGAATGTGAAGCCGGGCATGGTGGCACACTCCTTTAATCCCACACTCAGGAGGCAGAGGCGGGCGGATCTCCAGCCTGGTCTACAGAGTGAGTTCCAGGCAGCCAGAGCTACAAAGAGAAACCCAGTCTCTATTTTCTTCCCATTCCATTTTCCTATATGCACCATCAAAGCTTTGGAATTCAAAACAAAATAAAAAAGGACTGTTCTGGATAATAAAAATGAGAATTAGAGAGGAAAATATGTGAAGGCAAGATATTGTGTTGTGCTTTACATGAAAAGAAAAGAAGCTCCGGGCTTTTGCTCTGACAGAGTTCTCTCCATACTCTCCCAATAGCACGTTCTGGGGTCCCGAGGAAACAATTGATCTGGAATAGAGAGAGATTTGGATTTGCTTCTCTGCCAGCCTCCCTCCACATAAGCAGACCCTTTGTGGCCGGAAGCACCAATCCATATTATAAATGGGGTTGGATGATTCAGCACATGCTTACGGCAGCATGGGCGTATTTAAGTCTCCCCCAGTATGTGTAGCTATTAGCAGGATAGATATACGTGGGAGAGTGTGATATACCTAGAGCCAAGACAAAGAATCTTCACCCTCTGTTTTCTGTGATTTCTCTCTCACTGGTCTCTCAGACATTGTCCTTGAATGTAAACCGGACATTTTAGAAAGAAGGAAAAATCCTTGAATGTAAACTGTTGACATTTTAGAAAAAAGGAAAAATCCTTAATTTGCTTCTCTGCAGCTACTGAGAATGAAATCTAAAGGAAAGGGAGGTGTAAGCAACCCGACACATCTACATTTCTGTTTGGAAGTTATGAGTTAACTAACAGAAAAGAGTGTCAGTTCCAACAACACATTTTATTCTAGTTCCCAAGACACCCTGTTTAATCATCAGGTGAATTTCTTTTCACTGATAGCACAAGCGAGATTATGGTTGTTCTTTTGTTTTCATTTAAATGAAAAGAACGATTTGTTTTGGAGACAGGGTTTCTCTGTGTAGCCTTAGCTGTCCTGAAACTCGCTCACTCTCTCTGTAGACCGAGTGACCTCGAACTCACAGAGATCCGCCTGCCTCTGCCTCCTAA